CCAAAAAATCACCCAAAATATCACCCAAAACTGACTCAAATCTCCCCCAAAAATTGACCCAAAACTGACTCAAATCTCCCCAAGAAATGAACAAAAATTTACCCAAAACTCACCCAAATATCCCCAAAAAATTACCCAAAACTGAACCAAATCACACCAAAAAATGACTAAAAAATGACCCAAAAGTGACCAAAAAATCTCCCCAAAAAATCTCCCTAAACAATGACTAAAAAATTACCCAAATCTCCCCAAAAAATGACCCAAAACTGAACCAAATCTCCCCAAAAAATGATCCAAAAATGATCCAAAACTGACCCAAATGTTCCAAAAAAATGACTAAAAAGTGACCCAAAACTGACCCAAATCTCCCCAAAAAATGACCCCAAACTGACCCATTGTTACAATCTGCTTAAATATTGCAGAAAGAACTTTTAGATTCGAATATTCCCTTTAGCAAAATTAAAACTCATACAAGTTATCTGTTGATACCATAACTATTTTTATTAATTGCTAAGACATACAAAGAGGAAAAAATAAGAAAAGGTTAGAAAATGCTAAGATTTTCGCTTTTTATTTATTTATAATCTTTTAAAATTTCTATTTCTTTTCTTGTTTATTTTAATTTAATTTTTTTTTTAGTTTTTTTTAAATTCTTATTTCTTTTTACTTTTTTTTATTTTCTGGGGGTTTTTCTCAGTTTTGGTTTCTATTTTTTTAATATTTTTAGTATAATTATTTTTCTGTTACTGTTTCTTTTATTTTCGTTTTTTCTATTCTTTTTGTTTTCCTATTCTATTTCATTTTTCATCTTACTATTTATTTTATCTCTCATTTTCTATCAGGCTTTACGCAGGGCACCCTTTGGGGACCTTGTGGGATTGACAGATACCGCAGCCAGTGGGGCTTCGGTGCTGCTGAAAGGGAGGCGGTGCGAGCCCTGCTGTGACCAATGGGCGAGCGGTGCTCAGTCACGGCAGCCAACGGGGAGGCGATGAGAGCTTTGCCGTGACCAATAGGCGAGCGGTGCGCGGTCACGGCAACCAATGGGGAGGCGGCCGGTCGGAATGGCGGGGCCGGCTCGTTCCTGGTTCTCGGGCCGCTCTCGGGGAACACCAAATGATTTTCCAAGTGCAATTCCTGCCAAGCGGCTGATTCGCCCAGGAGAAAACCTCTTCCAAGAAGTGATTTTCTTCTATCTAATAATGTGTGCCCAGTCTGTTCCATGTGGAAATAACAGTCCCCGTGTTTATTAGCTAAAATCCCAGGGAAGTTCCTGGCTGATTCCAGCAGCAGCTTCATTCAGCCTCCCACACTTCGGCATTTCTCAGAAGCAGCAGTTGCAGGCGCCTTCCGTTCGGAGCCCAGCGCCAACCTGGCAGCTCCTGCCGAGCTGCCATGGGGAGTCGGAGCGCCCAGGGAATCGACCGCCGGGCCTGAGCGCTGCCTGCTGGGGCCGAGCGCCCGCGGCGCCCCTCCCTCCCTCCTCTGCGCTCTTCCCTCTCGCCCGGGCTCAGCGGGGCTGCGCCGGTTCCCCTCTCCCCCTTTCCCCTCTCCGCGGTGCCGTTTCCCGGTTCTCGTCTCTCTGGTGCTGAGATCCCAGAGCGCTGCCCGAGCCGCCCCAGCACCGCCGTTCCCCAACATGGCGGCCCCGCCTTCTTAACGGCGGTGGGAGCCGGCCACGCCCCCCCCCCTCAGTGGCCGAGCGGTGAAGGCGCTCGCCCGGAACGCCTTTTCCTTTTCACCTCCGGTTCCAATCCCACCCTCGGACACTGGCTAAATCTTGGCTAAACTACCTAAACTCACCCCCCATTTTGCCTTTGCACCTGAAACCCTCCACAGCCCTCAGATGAAATGCACCACAGGAGACACTATTGCCACTTTTTGCCTTCTGCCACCACAACTTGTGCCAACGGCCTTAACCCCTTTTTCTGTCTGCAGGCTCGCACCACACCCCAGCGCGGGGAGGCACCCACCGCCCCACCTCTGACCTCCACCCCCTGCTGACCCAAGGCAGGAAAAAAGCTGCTTGCTGTGTCTCACCCCTGTCCCAGCACTGTGCTCTCCGGGGACAAACTGTTCCCCCCACGGCAGCCCTTCTCTTACCGTCACGGGAAGCCAGTCAACAAACCCTCATGGGCTCCGATTGTTCCCTGTTGCCAGAAAGGGGGGTTGCCGCTCAAGATTCCCTCTGATTTTACCTCCAAAATACTCCTTTTTCGTTGCACATTCCCCCCCCAAGTTCTACCCCCAAGGTTGTTCTTCCTTGTCCATGATCCAGGCCCTCATTTTTACCTCAAAACATTCCTTCTCTGCCATGGCCTAGGAAATCAGGGGCAGGACTAAGGCTTAGTCATGCCTTGGCACAAAGGAGCTGCAGGCAGCACTGCACCTCCAAACCCCCCCACTTCCGAGGCTGTGCATTAAAAATCAGCAATTCTGCTTGCTCAGGCCCTACAGTCCCTATCCAAAGACCACTGTCCCTATCCCAGCCCCCATCCCTACCCCAGCCCCTCAGTGATTTCAGCTCGAGACCCACAAGCTTTATTTCACTGCCAGCTCTGCTCTCTCAGCAGCAGCTCTGCATCTTG